GAGTCACACTGGGAACAATTCCTTGTGAGCACCACCTTGCAGTGTGAGACCAGCTCTGCTGCAGGTTCCTTGTGTGCTCGAGGAACTGGAAATGATCCAGCAGCAAACACCTTTTGGGTTAATAACAACAGGAAGGGAGATCTCCCTGCACACACAGCAGGGCCAGGGAGCAGTGCTTGGTCATTGCATTTTTAAACTTCCCCAGGAGCACTGCCAGTCACTGCTGGAAAGGGTCTGAACAGGCCATGCCTTGCTTATGCCAGCTGGGGAGCAGGAATTATGCCCTCCACACAGGGGATGAGAGTTAGGCCAGAGGCCCTGAATATAAGCCTGGAATGTATTTATTGAGGGCAAGCAAGCTCAGCAGGGAATGATAAGTGTGTGCCTGCCCATCCTCAGCAGGAGAATGACATTTTGGAGGCAAATGAGGGGGGGGACAAAGGAAGTAGGATGGGGAATAATTACCACCAAGGACCACTCGGAACAGAATAGTGCTATTGGGTTACACATAAGCAGCATGCCCGGCATATCCTTCATCCAACAAAAGCAGCATTACAGCCCCTCTTGTCATCACCTGCTTAAGTCAACTGCTGAACGGATACTATTAAAGCTTTAATCCATTACACATTTATGTTATGCCTGAGAAATTTATACCACAAGAAGCACTGAGCCCAGCAAGGGTCAAACCTGAGAGTTTTACACACTCTGATTATATTCACATACTCAGAAGAAACCATTTAGCTGAAGAAATTAATACAAAGGGGGCAGCAGCCAATCCCCAGCACAACTTGGCCAGGGTGGTTCCCAGAGCCTGGGAAAAGGACTCCATTGGTGGCTGTGATTCTTCCAGTAAGTGATCTCCATCTTTCCCCAGGAGTGGCAACATCTTGTCTTTCTGTGTGTCTCCTTTTGCTCCATTTCAGAGGGCAGCCTGTCTGGTGAACAGAACTGAATCCCTGCATGGTGGCTTTGCAAGATCTTCCATATAAGAGTCCAGTGATGATTCCAGGGCTTGTTTAATGGACCTGTCAAGGGACAGTGATTTATCCCATTTTGTTAAATTGAAGGGAAAGGCTTTTACAGGCTGTCAGCACAACAGGACAGCATGAACAACAAATATTCAGAGTCCTTCTACTCAAAACATGAGCCTGACCCGAGGCAACACATGGGGACGATATGCTGTCCAGGATAGCAGATCTGTAGTGTGTGCTCTCAGATTTCTCACTCAGAACCAGTATCAGGCTTGCAGAATTCCTGCCGAGACTTGCATGCACACACCAGCTGACTGCAGCTCCTCCCAGGCCAGCTGGGGCCCCAGAGCCCTGCTTTACGTGCTGGCATCCAAAACCAGCTCTGGGTCAGCATCCACAGGGGCTTCTCCACGCATCAAACTGTGCAAAGATCTTTTTATGCACGTCTCCCACCCGAGGGCATGCAAGGACACAGGCTAACATAAAGACTGGCACTGTACTCAAAGTCTTCTCCTGTGGACCCACAGTCTCACTCATGCAGTGTGAGATTTCTAGAGGTGATTTTCACCTCTTTGCTCCCTCGGTGTTATTCCTCCCTTTCAGGAATTTGCAGCACTGCCAAGTCTCCCAATGCACAACCCAATTTTCCAGACACAGCCAATCAGCCTCACCTCTGGTCTGCCTTGAAGCTGTGCCTGGCATGCAGCTCCAGCAGCAGATCCACAGGGAGAGGGAGCTTTGCAGCTTGCAGGAATCTACCCCAAAAGAGAAGTGCACGGAGGCACACAAGTCCTTGGTGGCACTCAGTGCTGCAGCCCTGCTCCAGCATGTCTCCCCTTCATCACAGGGCCTATCTAGCCAGAGGCATCTCCCTTTCCATGACCCATGTGGGACTATCTTCTGCATCAGGAAATGAAATACTTGTGAGGCCTGTTACAGATACACAGCCCGAGTTCAATGAACTCTGTAAAGTAGGGCATGGGCAGGATAGGACGATGGAGGCTCTCAGACATTATAGAGTGGGCAGCTGTCTAACATATGAGGTTTTCTACGTTAAGGCAGGTAACTTGTAAGATTTAAGGTTAGAAATGTGTTTCCAGTAAAGTAAGAAGAAACCTTTTCCATGGCACAGTTGTCCCTTGGCTGAATCTGCTGGTAAGTCCCCCAAGTGGAGACGGTTAAAGCAAACCCACTGCAAAATCAGGCTGAGGGCAGGAACTGGCTCCCTAAAGGTCACTCCAGTCATGAGACATTAATAATTTTCAGTCACTGCAGACACAGTCTGGATGCAGAGTGGTGATCTACAGCTGAATGCCAATGCGTGAACTAGACAGACACAACCCACCTGAGCCTTCTGCCCTGCAAAGTCCAAAACATTATCTCTAATTTTTCATTATGGATCAGTTAAAAGTGCTGTATTCCAGTGCATCTGGTCCAAACCTCTAAAGAAACCGACCACCTAATAAACAATTTTGGGTGCAATCCCAACCTGCAGTACACTGTCCTACAGTTCTTGGTTGCAGGGTTTACTCAGCTAAATTTCCCTGGTAGAAGTAAATGCTGCAAGTAATTTTTTTGAAGTTTTTATTTCTGAACATTATTTAGTGGCTCCAACCGCTTTCTGCAAGATACTGAACTAATTCCAGTTTGGCTGAGTATTCCCTTCTAAATGCAACATCTGCTTTGTGCATCAGTTGAAAAATAGTTATCTGTGTGCAGTGTAGAATTCACCTCTCAGCTGTGGTCTAAGAACCATGTAAATTCTGTTTTATAGAGGATGAACATCATCCCGCCCCCAGAGCAGATTTTACTTACAGGCACGTGCCTCACACACAGGAATATTTGTCTCCAGGGATGGATCATCTAAGTTTTCCACTGCAGATCTCACCCCACTGGCACTGAGTCCCACAGCCCATGTAAACATGTGCATAATTTCCAGCATCTGAGTAGCTCCATTAAAGTCCACTGGGCTTAAGGGCACTCACACACATTTAAGTACATTGTTGGACCAGGGCCTAAAGTTACTCATGTCTTTTATTTATAAATGTTACCCTGGTCTGTAAAAGTGACATGTTTCTCTTAACAGGCTGTGATACCAGATATGCTCAGCTCCTAAGTAAACACGACTAAAAGTGCTCCACCACTGAACCTGGCAGTGGAGTGGGGGGAGCATGGAGTTAGCATAGCTTGAAGGAAGCTTTGTACCTTGCTGACCCTGGGCAGCCCTGCAAGATTCAATGTGAGGCTTGATTTCAGCATTATTATTCATGCTTAGGGTTAAGGACACGCTTAACTACCCTGCTAGGTCACAGTCTTCTTAACTACCCTGCTAGGT